CGTTTTTGCACTAAACTTGCCGCAGTCAGATCGTTAACAGCATGAATAGTTTCTGTGTTGTAGTTTAACACACGGACGCATGCTGGCTGTGTTTTTCGGCATTTTTTTAAATGCAGTTGGAAAAGGGCTTGGTCAGGGTGGTGGTATTGCATTATGGTACCACGTGAACCTCCTGCGCGCATGATTGTCAGTCTTATATAAAGGCCGGTTGTTTTCCCGGTGAGCGGTCCTTCATCGGAAAATGCAAGTTCAGCAATGCACAAGGTGTCGGAGGTCGCTGTAAAATTATCAGCAAAACGATTATCAGCAAATCAGCAAAACGCACTCGCTCTTGAGGTTGCTATAAAATTGAATATTTCCCCTGTCTTTCTGCAGAGAATTTAGCCCCTAGGCTGTATTTAGATGCAGAGTATCCTTACAAAGTTACAGCCTAGCAGTTTGCCCGGTAGATGAAATAGCCATTTCGCTATGAATATCTTTAAAGTGCCCCAAGTTGTTGCACAAGTGGAAGCAGAAACTCAGTTTAGGTATACGTTTTCCTATATAAAAAATAAATATTTTAACAAAATTTTAGCGACTGTTTTCCGGTTAGTTTTCGAGTTAGCACAGTGCTAGCTGCAAAGTTTGACGTGATTGTACGTGTGGCATAGGCGAACGCGACAGCTGAGTTTGAAATCTTTAACCCACACATAGATAGTGAATATCAAAATGGAATTTCAGCTTCTTAATTTGATTCGTTTTACTACCACAAAATTTGCAATTTTTTTCGGCATCCGTAAGTTCGTTCCAGGCGTGAATGGTGGCACGTGTGCTGGAAACACGGTCGCAAAATTTCAGCCTCTCAGTTTCCTTGGATGCTGAAATGAAAATAGGTTTAATCGCCCACACACCCACACACTGCAAGCTTCTTCATAATGTGCGTTTTTCTCATCTACAGCAACGCTATAGCTCTGTACAGCAGAAACTTAAAATATCGCAGCAAATTGGAAAGTTCATGCTCTTTATGTGTTTTTGCATACATGCAAATGCAACAAAGGCTGGAACGCACCAGGCGAGCCGGTGCGATCATGCGTTTTTGCATCAA